TTAATACTTAGCAACATTAATGAAAGTACTGAAATAACTCTTGAGGACATAAAATGGCGGCTCAAACTTCAGCAGGGATTTATGTTTTTGTTTTTTTGGTGGGGGGATAAAACATGCATCCAGACACACAAACACACACTGTATAAACCTCCATTAATCATCATATTTATCTAAAAAATAATATGTTTCCTGTTTTCAAACCCGGAGGAGCAGCCGGCCGACAGTTTGTAGTAAACAGCTCCACCTGCAGGATGAAAGAGGAACATTAAAGGGCAGGTTCACCTGCTTTCATGTTTCAATATACTCACCGTCCTCGCACAACTTCTCTGTGAGAGATGGAGAGTTGAAAGTTTTCTGAAGTGAATACGAGGCTTCAGCAGGTGGACATCTTTAGTCCTGGTAGAAAAATGTGTTTGTCCCGTGTTTATAACATCGGCTGATGCGTCGTCTTGTTTTTAGAAAGGTCACAGAAATAGTCTGAATGAGGAGCGTGAAAGAACATCCTTAACTCCACCTGCTGACCTTTCAAATCCGCCTGATTTTGAATGTGCTGTTGATTTACACTGTTGGCCCACAATGCAACAGAGCGAGGAAGAGGAGGCAGCAACATTTTAAAGTGAGTTCTGGTGCCAAAAACGACGGGATACTTTCACTTGATTTGACTCCGTCTGACTGTTGAAGCCTCAGATTAGCTTCAGCTGAACTTTTACTGTCCTCCATCTCGGAAAGAGTCGCTGCTTCAGGGTCGGCGTCGATAGGAGGGACGAAGAGCGAGCAGTAACACTGACCCAAAACCACAAAGTCAATAACCGAGTGGCTGCAAAATGATAAGTCACAAAAGGTCCAGTGAAATTTGAAAGTGTAGAAGAGCTGTTTCAGATTTCTTTTATATATATTCCCAGTCAGCAACTTGCAGTGAAGTGAATTTGGTGCAAACTTTGAAAGCAGTCCTCAGTTTTTATTCTGTGCTTTCTTAATATAGACGGGGAGTCGGAACCTGTCCTTTAATAACGTTTATTAAATCAATAAATCTCTCACTTCATTCAGAGCTGCACACTTCGTTTAAAGGAAGTTTAAAACCTGAAAATTAAAAATGTTTCCGGTTTTGTGAGAAGAAAAATATAATAATAAAAATAAATCTGAAGCTGCCGTTAAAGTCAAGTTTAGAGATTTTAAAAAATGCTGATATAAAACTAATGAAGAAGAATAATAATTTATCTTATTTATCCAACTATGGAAGATATTTTGTTTATAAAAATATAAAACACAGAAAAACTCACATTGGAGAAACTGAAACCAGGAAATGTTCTGACATTTTTGATTCACGATTGCTCCGTTTTTCAGTCTGTAAATTAACTACACTCTGATATTTGTAGTTAATTCTTTTCTTTTAATTCCTAAATTTTATTTAGTTTTAACAAACATCAGTTTGTTAAAAATAATCTGGAGAATCAATTAAAACGTTTAACAGCAGAAATATTCAGAAATCAGGCTGCAGCAACATTTATTTGAAACATCAGAAAATTAGACGCCTTTAAATCGCTTGTTTTGTCATCAAAACAGCAAATTATTTGATTTACAAAGATATAAAATGGAAAAAACAGCAAATCCTCTCGTTTCAGAAGCTCAAAACAGATTGTTTCAGATATTTGTGCTTAAAAAAACTTAATTTCTGTCAATATCTTTTGTGATTTATTTAATTGACTAAGTGTTTCAGCTCTAAATATAATAATGGCTTTCGCAGTGTTGTGCAGCTGCTCCTTCATCCTCCTCTTCCTCCACACGGTTTTTAACACACACACACACACACTCTCTCTGTTCCTGGACAGAGAAGTAAAAGCATGCATGTTTGATTTCTGTAAAATGCTTTGTTTGTTTTACTTTCTAAGAGAAATGGTAAATAAAAAAACAACTGAACAGCAATTATTTAATAAGTTATATTCACATGGCGGTGATGGAAATCTGTACATGAACGAAGGTTTTCTGTGTACTTTGCTGTGTACTTTTACTGTGTTTTCCACCGGGCCTGTAGCTCCATTAATCTCCCTGCTTACTGATAAAACTACAGTGACATTGTACAAAAGAAAAACATCAAGACGGGACGTTTTTATCTGCCTTTCGGGGAAACTCTGCGCACATAGAAGAAAAGCTAAACGCTGTCCTGTTCAGTGTGGAATAACAGAAAAACTAAAACATGTGGTTGAAAAGGAAAAAATAATCAGAGCACTTTTTTTTCAAAGGTAATTTTTTAAACTGCTAGTGTCAAAGTGTTTTTTGTAAAAATAACAATTATAATGATTTACACAACGCATGGAGGTGTCGCACACATTGTCGTTATTTCACATGCACAATGACATTTTTACATTTTACTCTCTTCAAAATGGGTTTTTACAGGAATAAAAATATGCTTTAGGTAAGTAGAGGAGAAAATAAAGTGCACGCATTCAAAGGATAAGTCTGGCGATTTAAAAATTTGTTATCAAAATATCTCACAAAAAGACTCAAACCAGCAGAGAATATACAGGATCTCACAAAAGTGAGTGCACCCCTCACATTCTTGTAAATATTTGATTATATCTTTTCATGAAGAAATGACACTTTGCTCCAGTGTAAAGTAGTGAGTGTGCAGCTTGTATAACAGTGTAAATCTGCTGTCCCCTCAAAATAACATCACACAGCCGTTAATGTCTAAACCGCTGACAACAAAAGTGGGGACACCCCAAAGTGAGCAGCTGTTTTAGGGAATTACCTGTTTAAACATTAAACAGGTAATCTATCTGCTAGGATTTTTCAAATTTGTGATTGAACCGCCAAAGAGAGAGACATAAATTGTGGGCAAGACATGCTGCAAATGAGCTGCGGCTCGGATTCAGTGAGGACTGCAGCCTTTATTTACACCAATTAGCCATAACATTACGACCACCTGCTGGTCACGATCTCCAGCCATGCTAGCAGCTCTGCAAGGCTACAAGTTATGGTGCATTTGTGGTGTTAATCAAAAATTATTTCCCCAACTCGGAAAATTAATGTGTACGACCCCTCAAAGTCTTTTTGGTACATGAGTTGTCAAATTGTAATCTAATGTATTGGCCTAAAAAAAAAACACTTCATCTTAAGGTGAAATTATTTTTCTTGCGACCCCTTGTGAGGATCCTGACCCTCATATTGGAAACCACCGGCATATAGGTCGACTCTCCCCACAACATGTTAGAACATACTGATGATTTACTCTGGAAGTACATCATTAAAGAAATACATACATTCCTTAGTATTTCACACAAGAGTTTTTTATTGTTTTTATTTCTGCAAGTCTTTGGAAATGTCTGCTCACAAGAATCAAACAAGGCAAAGAACAGAAGAAAAATCAAAAGTATTTCCCTTTTCCCCACTTTTACAGACATTAATCGGCTTATTCATCTAATAAAGTGACTGTTTTTCTCCCTTTTTACTATATATAAAAAAAAAAATATTAGGCTGTCTAAACCTCACAACTCCAAACAGTACGTGCTTTTAAAGCTTCATCAACATGGCAACTCAAGTTTTTTTTCCCAAAAGAAAATCCTTGATTTTTCAATGTTCCCAACAGGTTTTTACATCTTGCTCTACGCTCTAATGTGTATTATTAAAAGGTTTATTTAGGACAAACGTAATGATATGATGAACAGAGAAAGTACACTGACATTCCCGAACACAAAGTACCGGATGTACATGTACACAAAAGTGCCATGTGTCAAGTCAAACAGTGAGTCCAGGTTTGGGAAGAACTTTACACTGTCAAAAGTGTTTAAGTCTACAGCCAAGCTAGCAGCTCAAAATTATTATTTTTTCATATAAGTGCTTCAGCAGGACAAACAATGCTCCAGGCACTACGAGGCCATATGCTGCTGTTTTTTGTACATTTGTTGAACTAAATGAGGAGTTAAGGTTTTAAAACAATCTTCAGTAAAAGTGCAGCGAAAGAAAAACAAAAGATTGAAGCTCTCCTGAAAAAGGTGTGGAATGAAAAGAAAGGCCAGAGAGGCAGTTGGTAAAGATTTCTGCACGATCAAGTGAAGTTGATGTTTGTGGTCGATGAGTCACGAAAAAACCCTTTAAATTTGGACTTTTTCTATGAAGTTTGGCTCTAATCCTCTAAAGTGTAGAAAATTTGAGATTAAAGTAAACATTTTGACCTTCTCACAGCTTTTTAGGGTTTTCTTTTGGTCTTCTCTTTTGTATAACATACATGACACGAAAACTGTCAGAAAAAAGTATAAATTTAAATATTCAACTCAATGTTTTTTTTAATTTTGCATATTGAGAGATGTTTTCTTGATTATGTTGTATGCAAACGAGGATTAGGGCCAAACAGTAAAAAAAAAAAAGGTCTGCCTTTCGACATAGAGACATTAGTCTTAGAGAATTAGTGTCTCTACATAAAATATACTGTTGAGATCTAAAATTATTTTGTAATCTTGACTTAAACATTTATGTGTCTCCAGAAGAGGATTTTAGAGCCAAACGCCTTAGAAAAAAAAAAAGTCACAATTTCGATATTAAAAGTACTTTTGTAATGTTTATCCCACGGTGGGCAAATTATTTTCTTCTAAACTTAAACAACAACTTTGCTTTGAGATCGAAATGAAATCCTTGCGCCCGCCTTCTGACCAATCAGATTCACTCTCAACTAATAACATAACATTGCAGATCTGTTTAAAGCTACTTCACATGAAAAAAAAAGAAATTATAATAAAAAGAAAAAAGAATCCCAGTGGTGTTTTTGTTAAAGTTTCTATCAGGTTTCCATTGATCTCAATGGAGCCAACCGTCCAGACTCCTCACAGTAACATAAGGCACTTTGGACACACAGTCTGCATAAATCGCCTCAACCTCAAGAATAAAACACAAACGCTCTGCTTCCTGAACATCAAGCTATCAGCAGGTGGCGGTGTTCCTCCTCTAGTAAGGCGGTGGGGGGTTGTGCAGCTCCTGGTATTTGGGAGGAGAAGTGGTGAAGATGGTGGGGACAGACAGCAGGATGGTGGGTCGGTCCGGGTAACGCATCTGGTGAATCATGATGGAGGACAGAATCAAGCCCAGCAGCTGCAGGGAAACAAAGAGAGGCGAGTTAAGTTAAGTGCTTCAGCTTCAAAACTGCCGTTATTCAGGAAAATATTACCGTCTTCTGTCCGTGTCGCAATCATCAAATGATAATCAATTGAAAATGCCATAAATTTCACGTCGCCAACGTGAGAGTCAGCTGATTTCTTGGTTCCTTAAATTATTTAGGTTTTTTGTTTAAAGACTCAGGGATATTATGAAAAAGCATTTTCTAATGTTGTATTGATCAAGAGATTCATAGAATTACACACAAAACACATGAAAATACGTTTTATTATAAATTAAACTCCAACAGTTTAAAAACATTTCATTAGTTCACAAATGTGAATATTTGCAGATTTTTTTCCCCCTCTGATTATTTTAATGTATTTTATAAAGATTTTGAGGTTTAGACTGACAGAACAAGCATTGTGAATGTGTCACTTTGGGGTCTGGGCGACATTTCTCACTATTTTCAGATTTTTTCTACGTTTAATGGAGAAAATAATCAGCGGATTAATAAATAATGATAAGTAATTAATTGCAGTCAGATCCAAAAAAATAATAAAAATAGTTGAACCTTAAACATCTAGAACAGTAAAATCCTGCTTTAACATGAATTTCATGAGTACATTTTCCTGATTATACTTACATACTTTCACTTAAGTAAAGAATCTAAATACTGGTTCCTGTTCCTCAACAAAATAAATATATTAATAGAGAAAGTGCTGATTCGTTCATGATTCAAATTAATTAAATCAAACATTTATTATAAGCCCTAATTAGCACTTGTTCCTCCTACGTTACTGAGGTCAGGGCTCGGGGAATACTCGTTAGTAACTTGATGGATCCATTTTCTTTCATGTCTGTCAAAATTTGTGTTGCAGTTGAAGCTTTGCGCCTCCTCAACCAAGCGTTTCAAGTTCTTTGGCATGTCCTGCTCAGGTGTGCAAACTGAAAATGCGCAGGTGAAAGGAAAAACACACCCACTTCGGTTCATTAAGGGAGCATTGCATCAGCTTCATACTTTCACAGATGAGTCACGATTCTACTGCGAATGGTAGTTTTTGCATTTCAAAGATATAAAAACAACGTGATGTCTGCTGAGGGTCTGTACTGAACAACCACGTTCCCTTACGTCTGGAGGATAGGATTTGCAGGCGGGGCGTCTCACACACACCTGCATCTATTGCAATTTGCATATTGCACTTGTTTAATATTGCCATAATATTTCTATTCATCGTTCCTCTTTTATAAGCCGATAGATGAGCTTCTAAGTTTTAGCGGTCGCTGAAGAGTCGCCTGTCTGCACATACAAACATGTTCATCATGCTACACGATGCAAAGTTTTATGTTTATGAACGGAGCAGCACGTTGACCGTAACAGCTGCGGAAAGGCGTGAAACCACGAGGCGTTTGAAATTGAGAGGGGACTGCATTACGTCACTAAATAAATTGTAAATTGTAGGGTTCTTGATGCTCACCGCCAGTATAGCCAGAGTGAAGATGATGCCGATCGTGATGTCAGCGATCATATGGACGTAGCTGATGATGATGGGGAAGCAGGTCTGCAGATGGGAGGAGAGAAAAGGTCACTTCCTGTTCACACGTGATATTAATTTATCTTCATACGATGTGTTCAGTCGGCTTTGAGTTAAATTAAAGGCTCCACTCACCTTGATGTAGATGGACCTCTGCTTCTGCAGCATGAGCAGCTGGAAGAAGGAAAACGTCAGTGAGCGGCCGTTTAAAAACACAGTTTAGGGAGATAAAGCGTTTGTTTGAAACTTACTCTGTAGGTCACAGTCTGACACTTTCCCTCCATCTCCTCCACCTGGTTGCACAGACAGGAGTCGGGGATGTCGCCCTCCCAGTCCTCGTAACTGAACAGACCACAGCAGTGCAGCTAAACACCAGAGAAGAAGAAGAAGGTGGTTAGTGATCAGCGTTTTCCTGTCAGTAACATGAAGAAGAGATTGTGTTGCAGTCTTGTAATGAAATGATGTGAAGCAAGGAGGGAGATAAATCAGTTAGTTGATAGTTAATAGATTATCAAAATATTAACTATGTTATTAATTTATTTTTTTAAAGCCAAAACTTTCACAGTTTAAGCTTCTTAAATGTGAGAAATTGCTGATTTTCTTGGTCCCAACCTGATGTAAATTGAATATTTGGGGTTTTCAGAATAAAACAAGACGCATCAATGTTACTTTGGGCTGTAGGATACTATCATAATATATTTTTCTGCGTTTTCTGATGTTTTACTTACCGGTTAGATGATTAATTGAGAACACAGTATTGTTACTAGCTGCCATATTTGCGCATTTAAACGGGAAAAGTAACAGTTTGCAGATTAAAAGATGAAGATTTCCCTTCATATTAAACTGTACATTTCTTTTATACCAACTGTAGTAACAGTCTACTATGACATCAGTGTTTAGCTGCATACTGTTTGCAGTTAGTCCTAGTGAAGCCAGGTAGGAAGTTACAATCGCTGCTTTGATGCTTAAAAGAGTTTCTATCTGCTCAACCGCTGACATGTGGGCTCACCAACGTTTGTTTTAAGCTCTACCGTTTCCTGAAAATGCTTTGTATTACTGGTGATGTTCTGTGACTAAAAGATCTGCTAGGTTTAGGTAATAAATTCAGACACTGTGTACGGGCGTTACTTGGGATGGCGTGCAGTGGAATAGTCACTCCACACAGACGAACTTTAAGTTGTTTAAACCCACAAAGCCTCGCAGTTCTGCCTGTGTGAACTTCTTTAAGATGTCACCATCACTGAGGCAACGGCCGCTTGTTTTAGAACATGAAACTTGACGAAATGTCTTATTCATAGTTTATTCTGTTAAATTAGCAGAATAAACCAGTTTAATTTGGGTGTTTTTTGAGGCTTGTGCACAAAAACTGCTTGTTAAGAAAGTCGACTGCACCAAAGTCTATAAGAAAAACAATGTGTTTAAAAACTAAAAAGTTTGTTCCTCAAGAAACTAACTGAAGATAATTTAATATGACAGATGTCACATTTGTTCCTCTGTTTTTTTGTTAGTTTTTTTTCCCACTTTCAGAGTAAAATGTGGAAGTTAAAGAACAACCCGGTGAGTGTCTTCCTCTTTAAAAAAACAGGAACTGATATATAATCCAAACTGCAGCGGTGACCTGAGCCGACTGTATGGAGACAGTTAACTAATCCACTTCCTCTTCGCTGCACTAAACTCTCGATTGATGCACATTTCTGCTTGGCGACGCGTCTGTCAGCCAATCAGACGGCTCGGGCCACAGCTGGCTGAGGAATTCTGGGAGTGGAAACTGTCAACAACAGCTTTATAGCAGGGAAGTAAACTGTTCAAACACGTAGCTCGATCTGTCCGCCTGAAGAGTCTCAGCTTACATGGCGATCCGTCTGTTCATCGGCCCGATGAGGTTGAGCCGTTTTGATTTAGCGAACACCAGCATCGTATAATTTGGATGTAACGTCAGGCGTTATTTCCACAGAAGTCTAACGTCAGAGATGGGGCTGCACCTTACCGGAGAAACGCTGATGAGCCCTGGTTAGAGTACTTGTTTTTCCACATTTCACGGCGCAACTGACGTTCAGCTTCTGGGAATACTTGTTTAACGTTACTACTTTACAATTACAACATAAGTTGAGCTCCACACCAAAGTGCCGACTTAACGTTAGCCCCTGATTCTTAAAATCAATTAATGTTGTCTATAAAAATGTAAAAAAAATAAAAATAAAAAATAGTGAAAATGCCCATTGAATTTATAACCATATGGTGATCTCTCCAAATGGCTTGTTTTGTTCCAACAAACACTCACAAAACCAAATGAAATGCAGCTGGAATAAGTGAATGTTTGTACAATTATTAAAATAGTTGCTAATTAATTAATTAAATTATTAATAAATGAATTGAACAGCTGATTCTCTCTTCAGCAGATCATGTAGTCTTCATTTGTTCGGATGTCCATTCTTTTAAAAAGGCACTTTTATGGTCTCATTAATATTTAGTTAATTTAATATGCAAATATAACCTTGTATCTCAATATGAGGACAATATGGAGCTCTGTCTGTGTTGTGCTGAAACCTCATAAAACTCTTTGGACTGTCTCTGTGTGTGTGTCTCTCACCTGTGTCTGAATGGCGTCGGCCATGTCCTTCACATCCTCAGAAGCTTTGTCCAGAGGCAGCACCGCGCGGAACTTTTCCTCCAAGAAGCCCTCCAGCTACAAACACAAAACACAGAGCGTTATCCTGGGATTACAGTAGAGCTGCAACCATTAAAAATCGATTAGCTGTTGAATTATTAAAATTAAATCGCAAACTATTGTGAGGATCGATTAATTGGTTTGACTAAAAAAAAAATTAATTAAAAAGTTCCAGCTTCTCTAATGTGAATATTTCCTGTTTTCCTTCCTCCTCCAAAACAAGATATTTGAAGACGCCATCTTGGGCTTTGGGAAACACAGATACTGAAGTAATTGAAAAAAATAAAATCGCCAGATTAATTCACAAGAAGATCATCGTTAGTTTCAGCCCTGGTTTAACAATTAAAACGCATAAAACTACTACTACTTTTCAAGGATATAAAACCTTATTTTTGATATTTCTTTTCAGTAATTAGTTGCCAGTGTCCGCATATACACACACACTTATTTTATTTATTTATTTATTTTTTTTTTAAATTGGCCAAGTCATTATTATACAAGTCGAGACAAGCAGGTCCGAGTCAAGTTTTAAGTCCGCCGCCAAGCAAAAGTACTTCTTAAACGACTCTACTTTTGAGTCCTAAACCAGTCATAATGTGCTCTTCAGCAAATTTAATATCGCTAAAAAGTCTTGGTCTCACTGGTAAAATACCAAGTGGCTTTCACTGTGAAGCAGCCAAAAGGAAATGCAATATGTATTTCTCATAAAAGCGCTGACTGATTCGAAAACGTCTGAGGGCATCATTTTTAAATCCGTCAGGGAGTAAAGAGTCAGAAGCCACAGGGAGCGGTTAGTTGAGGAGCTGCAGGCCGGAAAAAGACGACAGACACGTTTGTTTGGCTGCTGATGAATAGAAGATGTACTTTTCAGGTCGATCTGGTCTAAACAACAGAATCCACCCCAAGGTTTCCTAATGTTTACAACTAAACAGTCGCAGTGACCCCTGTGGGTTGTGCCGAGGCCTGGAGCATGATTCAGCACTATAAACACACTTTAATATATTTTGTACCACTGCTGAATTGTAAACAGCTGCTTTGTTGGATTTCCAACAAAGCAGCTGCTCGAGGGTTGATTTAAAAATCACACCTGCTGTTATAACCAGTAACCACAGGGGTCCTAAACATCAGCAAGGGCCGAAATCTTAAGGATTAAAACTTCAAAATGTGACTTTAATCTAGTTTTATTGGCATGAATGTAAAACAACAATTTTGCCAAAGCTAGAAATAAACAGACAATAAATAGAACATTTTCTACAGTTCATTAAATCACTATAAAAAATATAAATTAATTATATGTCTAAGATTCTCAGTCATCCAGGTCATAGTTATCCAACGAAGGTTAAAATCAAGGGCAACTGGACTTGGTTGAAGATACTGGAAGACGTTTCGTCCCTCATCCAAAGGACTTCTTCAGTTCTGACTGACTGGCAGGGAAACTCAGCTATTTAACCTCAGTGGGGTCGTTGGCCCGGGTCATCGATACCGCTGGTTCGTTAGTGTTCCTTGTTGCTGTGACGACAGTCGTTGAGACTACCTGTGGCCAAGACTGAACGACCATCGTTGGTATCTTCACCTGAGGCCAATAGGTTACGTTTGTTGAGTTTCCTGGGAAGTGATGAAAGGACAGCATTGTAAGTGGGGGATAAGTGGTGGCGTGGACCCCCTCCCCTGTTCAATGACGGCTTCTCAACCCTGGTGTAGATGCTTCCTTGTCACCTCTTTCAAACCATCCATCTTCTCTGTCTAAAATGTGCACCTGGTGGTCCTCAAACGAGTGTCCTCTGTCCTTCAGATGTAAGTAGACTGCAGAGTCCAGCCAACTCCTCAGGTCAAGACTCTGCAGTCGTTTGAGGACCACCAGGTGACCAGGAAGCATCTACACCAGGGTTGAGAAGCCGTCATTGAACAGGGGAGGGGGTCTACGCCACCACTTATCCCCCACTTACAATGCTGTCCTTTCGTCACTTCCCAGGAAACTCAACAAACGTAACCTATTGGCCTCAGGTGAAGATACCAACGATGGTCGTTCAGTCTTGGCCACAGGTAGTCTTAACGACTGTAACGACTGTCGTCACAGCAACCAGGAACACTAACGAACCGGCGGTATCGATGACCCGGGCCAACGACCCCACTGAGGTTAAATAGCTGAGTTTCCCTGCCAGTCAGTCAGAACTGAAGAAGTCCTTTGGATGAGGGACGAAACGTCTTCCAGTATCTTCAACCAAGTCCAGTTGCCCTTGACTTTAACCTTCGTTGGAGAGATATATATTATATATATAGTAAATAAAACAGTCAAAGTGTGTATGCGTGTTAAAAAAAAATTAACACTCAGATATTTATTTTACGTTAGCCAAGTGTTGAGATTATAGTTCAGCTCAAAAAAGAACAGCAAGCTGAACAACCTGTTCACAATTAAATCAGGTGAATCTTTTATTTGCAGTAGAACCAGCTGTCGAGCGTCATGCAGGGTTGTTACCTTGGGGCGGGCGACGGCGGCGGGGATCCCAGCTCGGAGCATCAGCAGACTTCCAATGACCATACACACCAGGAACTGCAGAGGTAGACGGGAAAAGAAGTTATTACACAATCATAACCAAAAATCCACAGATTGCATCACAGGGTTTCATTAAAGCTGCTTATTTCAGGAGACACATGTGCTAATACAGTGTTTCCCCAGGTCAAATGTCAGCTGACTAGATACTCAAGAAAATCAAGCAAACATACGCATCAAATAAAGGGAATCAGTCAACAAGACAAATTGAATAAAAGAGTCTTTGGCTGATTATTAAACGCTCCAACTGAGACCCCGTTTTTTTTAAAGTCACAGAGGGGAAATAAAGTGTTGGACAGGAACAAACCTGCAGCGCTCTGTTTAAACCAAACTCACAACAACAGGAAATGACAGTGTAAACACACTCTGTTCTCATTGTCCTCCTCAGGTGTGTGTTAGCAGCAGCAGCAGCAGCTTGGTTTGGTTTGGTTTGGTTTTCCCCTCAGAGTCACAAATGACCTAAATCTGGAAATTTCTTTTTTTCAAAATCACCTCAATCAAAAGCAGAGTCTGCTTTAGGAACATGAGGCCAGGATGTTTTTTTGTATGATGAAACGATTGTTAACAACAAGTTTGTGCCATGACCTCTTTTATTCTGAGGTTTCATCAGCCTGTACAGCTTGTGCGTCAGTTGATCGTCATACTCACCACGATCAGGGACACTTTGCTCTCCTTGCAGGCTCCATAGGCTCCCAGGATGGCGATCACCATCGTAACGGAGCCCACAATGTACAGGACGAGGAGGCCGGTGTCCCGACCCTCCAGCTGGAGGAAGAAGAGGCGATTGACAGGTTAATATGGCGAGGAGCTGTTTAATTTTTGTTCATTAATTACACGTTCAAAACGGTGTTTGTTCTTACGTCTCCATTGACGTTGGTGAAGACTTGAGCCAGCAGCGTGATCGTGATGATGACTGCGCCAACAAGCTGAAACCAAAAAACAAGAGTTTGATCAGAACTAAAAACACCACAACAATTAAAGCACACAGGAAGTGCCACTTTAAGTCCATCACAATCACAAGATAAATCTGATGGCTGCACAAGCCCCGCCCCCCCGCCAATGTTCCGCTTTTGTTCAAACTTGTAAAACTGGTTAACTTTAAAAATCGTGACATCGTTGAAGCTGCAAACTTATATTTGGTGCTTTTGATGAAAGATGACGCATCAATTATTTAAAAAAAAGGTTACTTTATTTATCGACTTATTGTTTACGTTATTTTATTATGCAGCACTTTGGTCAACTCTGGTTGTTTTTAAAATGCGCTTCATAAATAAAACTTCATTTGAAACTTTTAGTGGAGGTCGGCCGCCACAGATCACTGCAGGTTGTTTTATCTCTGCAGTTTAATCTTGTTCTACTTCTCTTTTCTAGGTTTTAGAGCTTTGCATGCTGGGACTTTGAGTGTTTGCTCAAGAAGCTGAATTTTGGATATGCTAAATATGAGTTTTAGGTAATTTAATGACAAGTGTCACCATTGCATAGTTTGACATGATGATCAGTCTGCTGGTTGATAAATTGATTGTTCAATGAGCAATATCTGCATCACAAATCCAGTATTGCCAACGCTCTAACTTGCACTTTGCAAAACAAGGAAACTGTTTGGAATGTGACCAACAGAAAAGCCTCTCTAAGTACTGTTAATAATTAAATAAGCTTGACTGTCAAATTAAAAAGTCATTTTGCCTTCAGACTGAAACCAGCAGAGAACAAAAAACAAAAGCAAGCATTTTGATCACGTTTTCAGTATTAATAACAAACATTTGATAGTTCCAGCTTCTTTTAGGACTCTTTGTCTTACATTATAGTGAATTAATTAACTTTGCATTGTTGAACAAAACATCTGAAAACATCACCTTGGAATTTACAACTGGCAGCTTTCACTAACTTTAGACAAACTAGACAAATTGATTGATAAATGAAAATGTTGAAACTACAGCCCTAACTTATTTACCAACAATGCTTAAAATAAAATAATTTTAAAAATATTACTTTTTTGTGTTTTAAAGTCTCCAAAACAATCCTGAGACATGAGACAGTCGATGACCGCACTTTTTTTTGACATTCACACATATAAACTCATATCACTGCGTATACACACATACATACACTAAACATTACGAACTATGAAAAAGATATTATATTTATTCAGAAGAAACATTTTGAACTTTAAAATCGGTTTGTTTGACTTTTCTAAGCCTCAGTTGAAGTCTGCAACGAGGATAAATATAAATAAACATGCAAACACTGCTGTTTTTCCTCATTAAAAACCTTACTGCTCAGTACATCAGCTGATTATTGACTAATTTCAGTATAAAAAACATATAAATCGCTGATAAAAGTCTAAAAACGGCGTCGTAAACCCGTCAGGCCCGAGCGGGCCCGACTGACTCCGAGCTCCACTACGCACTTTTTATTCCCCAGCAGAAGATAAAAGGCGGCCATTTTTTAACGAACTTACCGCGAATAAGATGTTAAAGACGGTGAAGGTGCGTTTGAGGCACGGGTTGATCTGGTGACCCATGTTTACAGACGGAAATACACCGAAAAGTTCAGTAACTTGTTAGTTTTTTAGACACGCGAAGCTCCGACTGCAGCGAAGGAAAGTGAGGAGGCAGCCGGAGGATGCTGCTTTTAGCTGCCAGAGGGAGCCCGGCGGGCGGGGTTTCCAGTAAATAACAAGGAGGAGGCGCCGGTGGGATGTCTGCTGAGACTTCCGGTGCCTGTTGTAACTGGTGGAAAGGGGGAGAGAAAGGGAGAAGGAAAAGGGGAGGGGAGGATGGGAGGAGAGGGAGAAAGGCTTCATTCCGGGAAGACGAATGGAAAAATCCTATTCAACTGATGGTGTGTGGGTGTAATTGGAGAGCCTGTTTGGGATTGGAGGGATGGGCGGAGTTAAATCCTGACAAAAATCCCATGGCCTGAAATCCCGGAATTTACTGACTTGAACTTCCTGAAAACTCATCATAACACCACAGAGCAGAAAAGGACGTACATCTTCTAAAGCATGATTTTTTGGTACTGGTCCCTGCAGTATTTCTGTGTCTCTTTGTAGTTGTTTTGTGTCTCTTTGTAGATGTTTCGTATCTCTGCAGTATTTCTGTGTCTCTTTGTAGATGTTTTGTATCTCTGCAGTAGTCACACTGTAGTTGTTTTGTGTCTCTGTGTGGTCGTGTTTTGTATCTTTTGTAGTTGTTTTGTGTCCCTGTGTGGTCGTGTTTTGTATCTTTTGTAGTTGTTTTGTGTCTCTGTGTGGTCGTGTTTTGTATCTTTGTAGTTGTTTCGTGTCTCTGTGTGGTCGTGTTTCGTGTCTCTGTGTGGTCGTGTTTTGTATCTTTTGTAGTTGTTTTGTGTCCCTGTGTGGTCGTGTTTTGTATCTTTTGTAGTTGTTTTGTGTCCCTGTGTGGTCGTGTTTTGTATCTTTTGTAGTTGTTTTGTGTCTCTGTGTGGTCGTGTTTTGTATCTTTTGTAGTTGTTTTGTGTCCCTGTGTGGTCATGTTTTGTATCTTTGTAGTTGTTTCGTGTCTCTGTGTGGTCGTGTTTTGTGTCCCTGTGTGGTCATGTTTTGTATCTTTTGTAGTTGTTTTGTGTCCCTGTGTGGTCGTGTTTTGTATCTTTTGTAGTTGTTTTGTGTCCCTGTGTGGTCGTGTTTTGTGTCCCTGTGTGGTCGTGTTTTGTATCTTTTGTAGTTGTTTTGTGTCTCTGTGTGGTCGTGTTTTGTATCTTTTGTAGTTGTTTTGTGTCCCTGTGTGGTCATGTTTTGTATCTTTGTAGTTGTTTCGTGTCTCTGTGTGGTCGTGTTTTGTGTCCCTGTGTGGTCATGTTTTGTATCTTTTGTAGTTGTTTTGTGTCCCTGTGTGGTCGTGTTTTGTATCTTTTGTAGTTGTTTTGTGTCCCTGTGTGGTCGTGTTTTGTATCTTTTGTAGTTGTTTTGTGTCCCTGTGTGGTCATGTTTTGTATCTTTTGTAGTTGTTTTGTGTCCCTGTGTGGTCGTGTTTTGTATCTTTTGTAGTTGTTTTGTGTCTCTGTGTGGTCATGTTTTGTATCTTTTGTAGTTGTTTTGTGTCTCTGTGTGGTCATGTTTTGTATCTTTTGTAGTTGTTTTGTGTCCCTGTGTGGTCATGTTTTGTATCTTTTGTAGTTGTTTTGTGTCCCTGTGTGGTCATGTTTTGTATCTTTTGTAGTTGTTTTGTGTCTCTGTGTGGTCATGTTTTGTATCTTTTGTAGTTGTTTTGTGTCTCTGTGTGGTCGTGTTTTGTATCTTTTGTAGTTGTTTTGTGTCTCTGTGTGGTCGTGTTTTGTATCTTTTGTAGTTGTTTTGTGTCCCTGTGTGGTCGTGTTTTGTATCTTTTGTAGTTGTTTTGTGTCCCTGTGTGGTCATGTTTTGTATCTTTTGTAGTTGTTTTGTGTCCCTGTGTGGTCGTGTTTTGTATCTTTTGTAGTTGTTTTGTGTCCCTGTGTGGTCGTGTTTTGTATCTTTTGTAGTTGTTTGGTGTCCCTGTGTGGTCGTGTTTTGTATCTTTTGTAGTTGTTTGGTGTCCCTGTGTGGTCGTGTTTTGTATCTTTTGTAGTTGTTTGGTGTCCCTGTGTGGTCATGTTTTGTATCTTTTGTAGTTGTTTGGTGTCCCT